GAACTAACCAAGGCCACAAGCCGAATGATCAGACCAGGCGCCAAGCCAACTGATCTAATCTTCAAAACTAATACGACCTGTCCCAACATCATAGCAGGCGTCCGGCGGCATCCCTCCGGATGAAATTCGTCGCAGAGAGCAGCTCCCTTTTGGGTGGAACATTGCTCTATAAACTAATTACACGGCACCTATACGACTGTCCCCAAGGGCAACCACGTAGCCGTTTTTGAGACAAGGATAACTCTATCACTAACCAAACCAGTACATGACAAGTAGAAAACCACTTTCCTACTTGGTTAATTTTACAAATGACAGGACCGCCTGCCTAAAGGGGATCCAGTCTTTAAAATGGTTCGAATACCGATTGGATAAATGGCCGACTGATCGTCTAGCCTGGAAACAGACAACCAGTCGTCCAGGGGCATAGGCAGCGTGACTAACTATCCGTACCTGTCTGCAACTATCGGCCATGTAAAACAGTCGGTATAGTGTACAATTGGATATCAGAATATTCAATACTTAAACAAATTTGAAGCAAAACAAAAATATTCATTAAAAGGAAGCCGGTCATTAAAGACCGGCAAAATATTCAGAGCCCCGGCCCCCTGGCCGGGTAAATACAAACAAACGGCACGTAGGCCGGGGAAAGAAGACAAAAAGCTTATGAAGGGGGCATATCTTCAATATTAGCAGCTGCCGCCTGGTCAGCACTCTTTTTGCTGGACTCGGCTTCAGCTGCATCCTTCTTCGATGCATTACCCCCAAGCGGCACAAGCGCCACTACCGGCTGCTCCTCCTCCTCCAACGCCTCTTCCTCAGCAGCCGCCAGGATCTCTTGATTATATCTATCAGAACACTGGCGGTACGTTTTTTCCCAGGAAGCAAAGTCGGCATTGGGGAAGAGGCGGCCCCAAGTCATGCGCTGGATTTGAGCAGAGTCTTCCATCATCTCCCGGACCAGCTCTTTCTTTTCTTGCTCGGCCTTTTTCGAGAGCTCCTGAGTAAGACTCTTCTCCTGAGTCACCAGGCGTTCCTTTACGCTCGCCAAGGATTTCTCCAAGGTTTCGTATGAGGACATCTTTTGGCGAAGAGGTCTCAGCTCGGTCTTGAGGTTGTTGATGGTCGCCTCCAGCTCGCTATTCCTCTACTGGGCCGCCTCTAACTGAGCCCGGATAGCGGCAGTAGCCTGCGCCTGATAATAAAGAATATCAATTGTCAGAACTTCATTTTGGGCAATTTGAAACATTTCCTTATCACAGTCAGAGGCGGCCATAGCTTTTGCAGCCTTTACCTCTTTGTTCTTCCGGTCAAGCGGCTTGCGAAGGCCGTTCACTCGGAGCAGGGCCTAAGTAAAAAGGGGAACAGGCGTCAGTTTCCAAACAAAAAAGAAAACAGGCGTCCTGGAATTCAAATACTCAAAAATATGCTAAGTATACCTCAGCAAGGACCCCTGCAATCCCGTCTAGGTCAAGGGTGCCGACACCCCTGACCGCCTCCCTTTCAGCTGGAGGTACGACCTTGATCATAGACTTGGCCACTTCGACCAAGTCAGGCTCCTGAGGGCCGGCTGCATCAAGCATAAACAAACGGATTAGACCTAGTAAAGGAGGGAGCAAGTCTAAAATTTACAAGGACAATTTCATACTTCTAGGTGGCCCAGCTGGAGTTTTAGGAGAAGTGGTCGGCTGTTTCTCAGCCGCCGCATGTTTCCTGGCAGAACCAGGAGAGCTCGCAACAGTCGTCCTCCGGGCCTTGGGGTCCGGCTGTTGGGAAGAAGAAGCTCTTGGAGCGCCCGTCTAAAAAAGAAGAAAAGAGTTAGTATATGCATAAACACAACTCAAAAAAGAGGGTGAAAGGTTCGAAGCCCACCAAGGGTGCCCCCTTGTTGGGGGAGTCGGTTGAAGACTGTTGCATGATGGAGGCCCGCAACATGGCCGCCGCAGTCTTGGAGGCGGTAATTTTGCTCATGGCGTCCGCTGCGAAAACAAATAGCAAAGTTAATAAAAGTCATAACAAGAAATGCACGGAACAGCAGAGTATTCGACAGGCCGGCTACCTCTTGAGCACCGACTGCTGAGGCCACAGGCGGCCAAAAAGTACTCGTCGTAGAGCTATTTGAAGCTCGGGACGCAGTGCAGGGGTACTTGCTCTCGTACCCCTGAAGTAGAGTTCACCTTCGACTCTACTTTGAAGAGTCCTTTATCTAGGATCTCTTTCTTAGCCTTGGGGGGAACAGGCGGCATGTTGCGGCCGCCTGCAAGAAGGGGCAGATTCCTGTTCCACCTGTTGAAGCGCTTGTTCAGCTCTGTGTCTGAACTCTCAATGATAAGGAAGGTGCTCCGCCAGTCCTTCCATTTGTTTGCTTTACCTCTCGTCATGAGGTAGCCCCTGTGGCTCGTCATATGATACCAGTCGGTACCGCCTGCCTTAGGGTCCGGCTGAGGTAGTTCATGTGGGCGAAAGCCTCGAAATTCGGCTCCACCCCGTGCCGTTCGCACCCGGCCACATAGCCGAGTACGTTGACCCAGGAGTTCGGGGCTAACTGCCATAACCCCAACTCATACCCATCCAAGATCCGCTGAACAGCCGGATGTAGTGGGAAGCGCAGCCCAGCCTTGATGGCCGCCTCGTAGCAGCCAAAGCAGGCGCCATCAAAACTGGTACCAGCCAGCCAGACGACTGTGTCTTCTGGATCTGGCACGAACACTAAAAAGTCGGGGCCCATTGTGTGGTTTGCGATAAAGCTCTCCACTTTCTCTTGCATGGCTGTGATCCGGCCCCGAGGTACCGTGCAGTAGTAGGGGGTATTTTGCTCTCGGTGAGAGGCGGATGGCTCCGCCTAATCGTCCCCTTTCTCAATTGCGTGAGAAAGCCTCGCCTCTTGTAGGCGACTGTTTTTCTCTTCTGTGTCCAGAGAAGCATGGTCAGAAGAGCTAGACTCGGAATCGTCCTCTGACGAGTCTGAAGAGGACGACTCCTCCCCTCTCCCGGAGGGGCCCGCCTCCTCTCCTTTAAAAGGAGCAGGAGAGAATGTAGAATTGTCAACTGTAAAATGGGAAGGGGTCACTTTGACTCCTCCCTCAGAACTGCCGGCTTTCAAGCCGCTTTGTTTCACTTCCACATCCGGCGCCTGGTCAGATGTTTCACTAATCGGCACCCTGTGGGAGGAGCCGTCTGAGTTTGAGATCCTGGCAGTCTTTTTTGTTCTGGCCATCATGCTCTGCATAGACACAGATACAGTCGGACTTTGTATAAAGGGAAAAGATGGGTCCAGAAAAGGGCCGGCGGCACTCCTAGTCCTAGATTCAGCCGTCCCCGGTGACCGGCTGATCACTAACCTAGGTCGTGTCGTGTGCTTCCGTGGTGCCATTTCAAAAAAGAATAAAGTAAAGAGAAAATTAAGAGTAAGAGAACCGACGGTTACCTGAACGAGTGACGATTGATGAAGTTCTGAAAATCCTTTGCAGTCGGCTTGTCAGAGCAGGCGGTAGGCAGTAGGCAGAAAGGGTCCAAAATGTTAGAGCAAGTTCAGGGGTCCGAATGTTCTCTCACAAAGTTTTCAAGTGTGAAAATGACCGAAGTCAACACTCCTTTATATAGGCGAAGGGTCACTTCCAGAATTCAAAATTTTGGCGGGAGAATCTCTCGGCCTCTCGCCGAGTGACACCTGTAGCAGGCCGTCGCCTGTTACAGGGCAATACCTGTCACAGGTAACACGTGACCAGTCACGTGCCACCTGTGAGGGGCAAATGATTAGGGGATTTTGCTCCCACCAATCGGAATGCGCCACGTGGGCCAATCAGGTCCTGCCAAGTGTCCCCCAATTGGACCTCTCAGGGCTTGCCACGTGGCACACGCTTATTCGTCCACCCTGGACTTATTATGTCATGACTCGTGGCATACTCCATGCCTAATGGAGAAGCCGGTCACCTAGGCCCAACTTCCGAGGGAAGCCCAATCAGCCCAAGGTTAACCTAAACTTAGATTGGCACGTTTCCCGAGGTTATAAATACCTCCCTTAATCCTCATTAAGGGAGGGGACGCAAAAAAAAACGCAGATTACACACATTAAACACTCTCACCTAGAGAGACCCAATCACTTTAATTTCCGCATTAATTATTCCTTAATCAAGTACTAACTTGACCGTTGGAGGCGGAGCTCCCACCACAAGGAGTCTCCGTTGTTTTGCAGGTACAGGCGTCCGGTTCCAGTCTCGAAATTGTAACTCTCCCGCAGGACATCAGAAAACCCCGAAACACCATGCTTGGTACATCCGCCTCCACAAAGAAAATTATAACAATTTTCAAAATTGATCATTTAGTTTCTTGCTTGTACTAAGGTTAACTCACTAGATTTATACATTACCCTGTACAAAAAAACTTAAGAGAGTTCTTTTGAAATTATGAGACTGTTGCACAATAATTTTATTCTGAGATCTCATTGACTCTTATCCTTCTTACTCTTTTGGAGGGTAATCTTGATGCTAAAAAAAAAAACTATTTTTATTCTATGGAAGAAATTTTATTGCTTACATTTTTATTTAACAAATTTGCTACCTTTAACTTTTAATGAATCAGTTAGGCCTTGTTTACTTCACCTCAAAATATATATATATATATATATATATATATATATATATATATATATATATATATATATATATATATATATATATTAAGATAATTGTAGTTCAATAAAAATAATTTCAATTTAATAAAATTAAGTTCAATTCAGTAAAAATAATTTCAGCTTTGTAAATATAAGTTTTGTTCAATAAAAATCAGTAACTTTAAAGAAGAATATAATAGAGAATCAATAAAATAATTTCAATTAAGTAAAAATAATTTCCCTTCATCAAAAATAAGGTGAAGTGAAGAGGACCTTAAAAGAAAAATGATAAAAGAAAATAATGTACAAATTTTACAATATGGAAATACATAAGCGACAAAATTATAACGAATATGGAAAAACTTTCATCTAGATATTTTGGGGAACAATATGAGATTAAAAATTTTGGTTTCCAAATTTTTCTCTATTACACGAAATAAGATCAAATCTGTTACGGAGTACATTACTAAATTACGCCAAATTAAAAAAAAAAAAAAAAATTCGAGTAAGCACCTATAATCTACCATACAAAATTTCCCGTGAACAAGGAGACTGAGAGGAAATACACAATCCAGGGGGAACATTTGTGTTCTTGCCTATAATCTCACAAGTTAAAACATGCTCAAGTTCTCTGCTTCTTTTTCTTCACAACTTTCTGACTTTTGGTAGATGAATCGTTGTCGGTCTTTACAATTTCTTTTACACCATCAGCACTCGCACCCTCAGACTTTTGTGGTGCCTTCCGCTTTTTCCCTTTCAATTTATTCTGATTTGGCACACTACTTAATCCGTCGGTCTTTGCAATTTCTTTTACACCATCAGCATTCACACCCTCTGACTTTTGTGGAGGCTTTTGCTTTTTCCCTTTCGATTTATTCTGATTTGGCACACTACACATTTAGGGAACAAGACCACACATCAGTGAAGAAGGCAGGTTAAAACCAAAGAGCACAGATATAAATGCAAATCTAGTGTTATCAATGTTATCAGTTCTGAAGTTGATCGACGTGACAAAAGAACAATGACTAAGTTCAAATTTACAGTTGAATAGATGATAAAGATCAACTGAATAAATAATATAACATTAATCCTCCAAGGCTGATCATATAAAACATGAAGTGAGAATAACATTATGGGATGCAGGCTGTAAGAAGCAGAGTATTCCTAAAAATCAATTATGAAGAGAATAGATGCTAGGAAATAGTAATCTCAAAGCCAAGGCTAGTCTTAAAGTTGTGATACAAGGAGTAACTGTGCAAGGGTTGAGAAAATATTGACTGAGAAATATCCTCCATCTTTAACCCTTAAACCCTAACCGCTTCTTTGTCACATACAGCCTTATCATCTGTAGTGCAAACCAACTATTCGCATACACTTTGTGGTATATTAAAGATGAATTTGTTCATCATCACTTGTACCTAAGGAACAAATAAAGGCTAGACAGCACATAGTATGCCTCGAATTTATTAGCAGGGACAATCACTACTGGCATATAAACTCCCAAGCAAAATCTATCAACTTATAGTACTTCATAGAAAAGATGGATTCTACATCACTCTAATGGAAGAGTATCACTCAAAAAGAAAATCAGACTTACTTTGTATGGTCTTTTGTGCTGAGTTTCCTAGTCATGGCGTTTAGCATTATACTTTTGTAGTACTGAATAAATGGGGATTTGTCATCGCGCTTTTCACTCTGCACATTATTCAAGCAATCAGCGAGATTAAATTAAAATCAGATGGTACGCCTATATTTTCTACAGATGGTGGAAACGTATTGATAACCTGAAGAAATGAATCTGCAGATCCTTGGTCTATTGGTGAAAATGAAACATCCTCTCTCTTTCTCTGGACAAACTCCATGTTCTTCTCCACCTGTGAGAAGAGAAAACAACATGACAAGGTAATCAACATAACTTTAAACCCACCTACAAGGCCCCTACAACAATTGCAAAACAAAAAGCAATGTGTAGAACTGTAGATCCACTGTTAGGAAGGTCGCAGGTGTACCAGGACCCCAAATGTACACAGCTTTAAGGCCTTTAACAAGTCTAAACCAGAAGAGAGATGCATGTTCAGCGCATTTCTGGCACCACATAGTTGCCCAAGCAATTGCTAGTCAAATCTCAGTTCCTCTCCCCTTTGCAATGCAAAAGGAAGTATGAGCTACAAAGTGTACCAAACAGTAAAAGACTACTCAATCTAATGTCTATTTAACAGTCAATATTACAGCACGAGTAAAACCAAACAAAGTGTTTTCTATAACTCAATTAACCACGTTTGTTTCTGTTAACTAGCAATCATGGAGAATGTTTTCCTTTCTATCTGAGACGAGCAAAAGAAAGCAACAAAATTACATTGCAGCATTTTTGGTCATCAGCAATGGAATAGATGAAAATTCTAACAAGTAAATACCATAGACCAAACGCTATGTCAAAGTCAGTATAAGCTTCATCTTCAGAGCATTATATATATATAGTGGAACAGCAAAGAGTTCAATCAAGTGTAACAATAAGATGTATGAATGTATAGCTTCAATTCTACATAGGTTTATAATCATATGTCCATAGATTGATGTAAATAATAAATTCAAAACCCAAGTGTCATGTCGCTCTTTTTCCAAATCAAGAGTGCTAAAGAGCCACAGCATGATGCATACATTGGAATATAAGAATTGATAATATGATATATAATCCAGCTTTTTTTCCCTAGTGCTTATGTAAAAACTTGCTAGAAATCCTTCAAATATTGCCGAACATCTCTCAAGCACAGATAAATCAGCATCTAACTTTCTTTATCATCAATTTTCAAGTTAGTAGACAGTCTCGCTCTAAAATCAGTATCTGGCCTACATTCTGTCCCTCAGTTCAGCTTATGACTCAAAACAAAAACAGTCAGCAAAGTGCTAACACCAGGATCGCCTTTCCTATATGTTTCCAATCATTCCATCATCTAGAATTTAATAGGTAAGGCCAAAAGCAAAGCCAACACAAATACACCAAACAAAAAGACAGATATATTACTTGCTGATAAATGACCAAGATGTCACGTAAACACTGCTGCCAAACAAATGCAATGAAGCCAATGAAATTACCTGATCAATTAGGCGCTTCACTGGCCGGCGAAGGCTTTCAATAGCAGACTTCTCATGAAATTGCTTCAAGCGGATGACAGGAACGGTAGCAAGTTCAGGGAAAGATATGTGATGGCTCCACTGAATAAAATGCGAACAAAGCAGCTCCACGACAGCAGAAACACACTCCTCTTGAAATTCTGACGACTTCAGCCAATATTTAGGTAACTGGTCCATCAACCAACATATTTATAATCATCCAGTTGTTTAAGCATACTACAAAATTGTAAACTTATTTCGCAGATTCAGGAGAAGAGTAGTGCCACAATCACAATTAAAATATAAACAGATTCCATTTTTTAAACTCCAATTATGACATACACACCCAAATGCATTACAATTATTTTTACTAATAAAAACTCTTTTGGTTCAATATTTTGAAAAATGACAAAATCAATGAATTCAAAAAACAAAAAACAATCTGTAATCAAGAACCAACAATCTTAAAAATAAATACTGCAAATCCTGTGTCAGATGAGGTGGTGAAGCAAACTTTTAGCTACAATAAATAGTAATCATAAATTCTGCAGCAGAAGCAAGCAGAGCATATCAAACTATGCCACGATTAATATTATACAGCAAAGTTTGCCAATGAATAGTTACAAAATCAGAAAGGTTGAAATAATATTCATACCATCAAAATAGTTGATAAGTTAATACTGCCCTTTCGACGCTTTTCATCTCCCTGGGCGCTACTGCTCTCCAATAAATCCAATGCCAATGAAGAGATAGGGATGAAGATTTCACTAGCTGCGGAAAGTTGATTTAACCATTGTATGCATTTGACTCTCAAAGGCAAATATTTCGGACCAGCAAAGAGTTTAGCCACTCCATTAATGACTTGGATGAGTGGATATAGAAGACCATGAAGATCACAATCTTTAAAATTAACAGACACGTATTTAACCCAGAGATCAATGCACAAAACATACTCCCAACTGCAAATCTTCTTCAAAGCTTCCTGCCAGACATTCATAGTACACTTTAATTTCAACAAACAGCAGAAGCTAAGGAAAATCTAAAATCAATATATTGGCTTCACTTCTAATATTCTTGATTTTCATGTGAGAGCAATTAGAGACAATAAGTAGAATTTTTCTCTTTAACAAAGTAGTATAACGTCTATAGCACGCATAGACATTAAGTGTACCATATACCTCCTTAGTTTGCAAGCCCAACTTCAGGATTACAGCTAGTTTCGGAACAGATGCCAAAGCCACTTTGATTGATTTCTGCAAATCTATAGAGCACAGCTCAACAAAGGAACTTATGATGTATTCTATATGATTTAAATTAGAAGGGTCCACAACTTTGCAGCGTGAAATTATGGCTTTATATGTTTTCTTCAAGCATTTATCATAGGAATCATGCCCAAAGTGAGAAGCTAGATCACGCAAGACAGTAAAGGAGCATGATGAAAGAGTCCCTCCACCACTTGCCCAAAGGTGGACAGCAACCTGCAGTGTGCAGTAGGTAGTCAAGAAATCATCACAAACATTTTAAAGGCCCCAGCTATAGAGATATGTATTCAGCCCTAGATTAAAAAATTTACTATTAGCAATTTAGCACTATCAAACATAACATCACGCGAGAAATGAAGATAGAATAGTAAACATCAATAATTGCATTCATCAATCATCATATCCGTAACTGCCACAACACCAAAGAGGAAAGGAGAGGGACAAATTCACGACACATGTTAAGAGGCTGATTTAAGAGACATAAACAATTTGACAGGTCAGAGTTTTACATTATTTTCAAGAAACTGGCCTAAATTACTAGAACAAAGAACAGGCTTGAATGATAACTAATGTAGGTAGCAATTATGAGATTTATGAAAGTTCCATACGTATCGACCACCATCAAGCAAGGCTTGGAGGTCCATAGCTCTACTAATCCAAATATATGCAAACTTACACCCTACTCGATAGAGATTAAAGGTGAGTTTTTGAGAAAGAGCAAAATAGATTAGGTAATTTAAACAATGACAATAATCAGTAAACTATAATCATTATGAATAGCTAAAAAAGAGTGAGGTCTTTGGGGAACACAGACCAACCCATAAAGATATACATTATGGAAATGAATTCTAACTTTTTCTCCAAAAAATTCAACACACTTACAGAAAAGATGTTGACATTTAAAAGCAGAAAACATTTTGGAGCACAAATATATTTAATTTTATAATATTTTCTCAAACTTAAGATACCTCAGTGAGTTTGGACTGCAAAGATGGAAATGCAGCAAAAAATACCAATGAAACTCTCAACCGATTCAAGGAATATGCCAACATGTCTGCATCGGTAAACTGATTCAAGAGGAACAGAATACTAGTCAAAAATGACTTGACCATCGGCTTCACACTTTCCCATTTTGAGGAACCTTTTAACTCTAGTATGGTCTGCTTCTTGCAATCGGAAGATATCCCCAATGAGCCCCGAAATAATTGATCACTTTCGGAAAGCATAAACATTAAAATAGTGCAAAAGGTCTCTTTGTTTTGTATAATTGGAGAGGAGACAGACGTATTAGATTCAGTTGATTCAGCACCATAGTGGCATGCTGAACGATAGGCATTTAGAAGACCACGCAGAATAGACAAATTTTGCTGCTCTTTAACTAGCTGACACCAGCTCTTGACAGTAGAGGAACTTAACACTTTGCCAGCATTTGGACTTGGGGCAACGCCATTAAAAGACTGAAGTTCGTGATTACTTGTCTCATCTTCATCAGACTTGTCCATAAAAGAAATCACTTGTCAAGGAAAATAACATATATGTAGTTCAAAAATGGGTTAAATGATAAGAGTAGTAACCATAGGGACAATTGAAACTTCTAGATCATATTATGATAACATCAGCCCCAAAGTTTCAATTTTAACAAAAAAGAGAGATTGCTTAGCACTCACCATATTATCGTTGTCAAGTGATTCAAGACCTTTAATTTTTTCTTGCAAGAAGATCACAAAGTGAGGATCCTGAAGTATTCCCACAACAACAACAACAACAACAACAACAAAAAATAGAGTCAGTCAATTAGTAGACTAAGAAACTCTATTCCAAAAGGGGAAGCAACTAAATTACCTTTTGCTTCAAAGCCTCCAATCTTTTCTTTTTCGCCAAAAGTTCTGATAAAATGGTTTGGTTCTGAATAGATAATTCGCTGCCTTTGCTAGCATCTACAGACAAAACAAGCTGGTCAGTGATATAATTTATCAAGTTTACATTACAGTCAACTAGGTAATAAATGAAGGAAGAAATGACAAATGCGCATGGAAATTATTTATCACCTTCTGATTGAAGCTCCATTTCACTCACACCAGCATATAAGCAACTTGTATCCTGTATAACAAATCATCAACATTAGAAAAAAGAGGGAAGTAAAAAATGCATAGATATAGAGAATCATGGTTCAATGCAGTACCTCGGAAAGATATCCATCACTTTCTGAACCATCTTCAACCATTTCAATATCTTCTTCACTTGAAAATATATCTAGAGAAGCATCCTCTATATTTTCAATAACTGGCATCCTAAGAACAAAAATGAAACTTTTATAAAGCATTTGCCACTTTGACTACAAGTGGTGATTGATAAAAATGTTCCCTTGCAAAATCAATGATTTTATTATATATCAGTATACACAATTATCAATAAATTTAAGTAGTGTTGCATATACAGAACAAAAGTAGAAAATTTGCAAGCACACAGCAGATTGCATACTTAACTATTAAAAAAACAAACAAAACAAAACAGTTTTTTTCCCTTTTGGTGTAACTTTGGTTTCACCTTTTTACCTTCCAGTGGATGTAGTATCTCCGGCTGGATCTCCAGGACCATCTCTTTTAGCCCCTAGTAAGTCCAAATGATCCAATAAGATACATAAATCAATAAATATCATCAATATTCTTCAAATAACTACTAAAAGCGTAAATACCATAAGAGAGAATAAGGTCGCAGATCAATCACATAAGATATACATCACTGCTCAAATACACAATGAAATATCATGTACAAATTAAAACTGCTCTCACTTATCCCAAAAAATATAGTCTTAACATGATTTTACACTACTCACTGATAAATCCCCTTTAAGTAATCTTTTAACTATGAGTCAAACAACTGCTTCTCATCTTAATCAAACCTCAGCATTCCCTCTTTCAACTTTCATGTGCGTACTCGAAACACTCACTCCCTAAACACACAACTAAAATTTGCGTTCGTTAAGGGTTCGTTTGGCATCATTGTGGTTTTCTGTTTTTTGGTTTTTCAAAATCATATGAAATATATGATATATATCATATAATGAATCAAAAATTAGTCAAACTTATTTAAATCATGATAATATTGAAAACTGACAACAGAAAAGTGAAAACACATTTTTCTTGTTTTCTGTTTTTGGTTTTTAGTTTTGAAAAAAATAGAAAACTAAAACAAAAAACAATGTCAAACAAGCCCTAAGATTTTAATTTGGAATTTGGATTAGAGCTTGTTCAATAGTATATTACTATCTTCACTATCATAATGTATTAATGCTAGAAGTCATAACCTAAACACACAACTAAAATTCGCGTTCTTTACAAATTTAATTCTGAATTAGAGCTTATTCCATTGCAAAAGGTTAGTACTCCGTACTACCTTCATTATAAGAGTAAAAGTAGTAATGCTCTAAACACATAACTAAAATCCAAATTCTTTAGAATCATAATTCCGAATTAGAGCTTATTTCATAGCAAGAATTTAGGGCTATCTTCAACATCTTCCATACAAATTAACTTTGCCCTATAACTCATGCTTCCCAGAATCGCTTTCGGCTCGAACTCAAATCAAACTAAACTCAAAAGATGGAAATGCAGATAACAATATGCAATAAAATCAACAAATTCAATCCCCAATTATTAAATTGAATCAAAAACAATAATAAACACAAACCCTTTTCGATTAATTACAAAAACATCAATTCAAATGTAGCTTAATTGAGCATTTGAACATGAAAAAATAATCAAAAAGAACGAATTTTTAATTGAGAAAAATTGTTCATACTAGGAGTATTTTTCTTCTTGTGGATAGCCTTGAACTTCCTTTTTTGCTTCATTACAGTCTGTAAATGCTTCTTCGCAAATTTTCTGGCTTTCTTCCCTAATTTCCCCATAATTTATTGTTCAATTTTCTAACAAAAATTTGAATTTGTATATGATATAACTCGAAGAAATTTAGGGCAAAGGAAACAAATTAATTTGAATAGGAATAAGGAAATGGCGGCTAAGCAAAGGAGAAAAAACGAATGCAGGGTAATACGGAGTACAACACTACACAACTTCCTAACGTTTGAGGGTGGGGAGGTAGGGCTGTTCATCGGTCCAAGACCGAATTATGAATTCAAGTTCCGAAGACAGGATCAGATCGCTTCGGACCAATTTTTTATAATTTTATGGAAAACTTAAAAAAAATAAAGGAAAAATAATATTTTAACGTTTTTTGATGTATGTTTAGTACAAAAGTGCTCATACAATTAAAGTTCTCTAAGTTTATTAAGGATAATCTTAATCATTATTTAAGGTTTTATGCATAATTTTAAGCAAAAAATCGGTCCGGTCCAAGAGCGATTTTCATAGGGTTTTGGATCGGAAAAATAAATTTCTCAACCCAGAAACCAGATTAGTTAATTCGGTCCGGTCCGAGGTTGGTCCGGTCAGGTCCGGATCGATTTTTTGAACATCCTAGTGGGAGGTATGGTTTCGGGTGATTTCAAGGTGAGTAGGCGTCCAAGGTGGTTTAGGGGCGTTTGAAGTGGGCTAGATCTATTTCATGCGGGCTAGGGTTAGTTTCAAGTGGTTTAGGGCTGGTTCAGGTGTGAGTGGGTGGATTCTCATTATTATAGTAATTGTTACGAGGCTGTCCATGTTTCTAACCTTGATAAACGTTAGAAGTTTATCAAGGGTTATAATAGTCATTTCCTTTTATAAGTCAGGGGCATTGTTGTCTTTTTAGGTTAAGTGTGAAGAATGATTTGCGAGGAAAAGTTAGTTATGGTTGCCTAGCGTTACCACTACATTTAATTTACTTTTTCTTCAACTATATCACATTAAATTCTTTATCTTTCTCCCATCTATTTGTTTCGTTGTGTTCTTTCTTCGTATACATTAAAATTGCAGGAATTTTTTTCGGATCAAATTTGATAAACTAATTAAAATTTAATTGAAATTCAAAGAATAACCTCGGGAGGCTCATTGACGATAAATTGAGATCGAACATGAAGCAAAGCTGAGATGAAGAAGAACGAAGATGCCATTAACAATGTATTTTTTAGTCAAAGTTCATCATCTTTGCCATCCTAACTTCGACTTCATTGCCATTGATGGTTGGAGGTTCCTTTTTCCTTTGGTTCCCACCACCTTCATCTTCTTTGTATCCATCGATAGATTCGACACTGCTATTTTTTGACCCTACAAACCCCATTTTCAACTGTTTCGTTGCCAAATTAAACCAAAAACCTAAGAAAAAAGAGAGTTTTATGGGGCATGATTAACCCAAAGGGTATGTGAGCTTTCACTCGTCCATTGAAACTAAGTTTTCCCTTATTGAATAATTTTTAAGATTTCTCCATTAATGGTGATATCAGTCAAAAAAGCAATTCACAAGAGACTTCCACAAAATTACTAATATAAATGGGGAAGAAAATAGAGATATTTGATGAGGAAAGAAAGGGGAAAGGTGAGAATTGAATTAAGCCTTCAATTTGCTGTGGCAATTGATAAAATTTAGTAAGAGTTTTTTTTTATGAACTTGAGTTAATTGCAATAGAATATCAACTGCTTTAGTTAACGTCTTCAGTTAAAGTAACTAAACAACGTTAAATAAATGGTTACACCATCTCCCTGCTATTATGCATGCCGGCTGTATAATAAAGCCATAAAATATTTTTTTAATAGATATAACACGAAATTCAAGAATATTATTTAAATTACTGCCACTAGATAAACGCTCTAAGTTTATTTAGGTTATAAACTTAAATTTTCTCAATTGTTACCCATAGCCAATAAAAAAAACTGGTAAAGACAATGGATCTACATCGTAAATATTAAAATCGTTACCCATTGCCAACAAAAAATGGTAAACACAATGGACCCTATAGAATGCACCTCTCACAAATAAAGCAACCAAACTACACGGGTTAACTCTTGAGTGGGAAATAAGCCAAAAAGGGAAACCTATATTCCAATCTATGAATACATCAATGCAACCAGATAACTTAACATAGGGTGTGGTCAAATTTCCAAATATATCTAACTATCCACAATACCAAGATTAGAGGTGTTCAAACCTACCCCGGTCGAACGGATCTGAAAAAAACCTGATTTAGATTCCAAATTGTTCAGACACAATAATTTTGCATAATACAAAGTTTTAAATAGTCTCGACCCAACCTCACCAAACTCGACACCTCTCCTAGCCAAGAGTCCAAGACGCTATCCTATAGACTATAGGATAAACAACCCCAAATAACCCGTTACCCGTTTTATAAAGACGGGTACCCAAAAACCAAAACCCAAATGATAGCAGTATACGGTATGCCAGTATATAACACCTAAAATAAAACCCAATTGAAATTAGGTGTAGTAGGGTTTTTGAGCCTTGAAAGAAAGAAGGCAAATTCAGCAGAGCAATTCCTCCTCCACACCTCCGCCGTCACCATGGGTCGTATGCACAGTGGCGGGTATCACCTCTTTCTCCCTCTTCTCCTTTCTTTACCCTTTAATGGCGGTTTATTATTCTGATTATTGCATTGTATTCTTTTGTTTTTAGTAAGGGTATTTCTTCCTCTGCTCTTCCCTATAAGCGCACACCACCTACTTGGCTCAAGATCTCCTCTCAAGATGTTAGTGTTTTCTGTCTCTTTTTTTGCTTTGTTTTCATATTTTGCATTGTGGGTGTCTGGGTGATCAGGGAAATGACTGTAAAGGTTTTTAAATTAATTATCTTATGCAATGTACATGTTTTCCTGGTTAAATTTGGTTATGTTATTGGTATTTTGATAAAGGATTGAAGAAATTGTTTAAATTTATTGATTTTTGTAATATCGATTATTTTTTTCTGGGTAAATTTTGGTGAATGATGGTTATTTTGAGAAAACATTGAAAATGTTGGTTATATTCATCAATTTTGCAGTACCCATGAATTTTCTGTGGGTAAATTTGGTTGGGTAATGATTATTTTGAGAATTGAATTTGAAAATGTGGGTTATATTAATCAATTTATGCTATACCCCACTTTTTTTGGGTTATTGAATGATGTGCATTTCAAAAAATGGTTGTAAACTTGTTTGAATTTATTTAATTATGCAATGCACACTAATGGGTACTTAGATAAATGATTGAAAAAGTCTCTAAACTTATCAATATTTGCAATGCCCATGTTTTTTTTTTTGGGTTGATTTCTGATGGGTATTTTTGTTTGCAGGTAGAGGATAACATTTGCAAGTTTGCAAAGAAGGGTCTTACACCATCACAGATTGGTGTGATTCTTAGGGATTCTCATGGTATTGCTCAGGTTAGGAGTGTTACCGGCAGCAAGATCCTCCGTATCCTCAAGGCCACTGGTATACTCGCCTTCTCAATCATTTGAATTTTATCATATAATATGTTGTTATTGGTAATGTACTACAGTTATGACTAATCGTAGTGGTATATATAATATACAAATCAATTAAAGTTGCTCTGCAATGTTCTAATGAACAGGTATTTGAAAGTATAGACTGTTATGATATTATTGAGAATATATTGGTAGTGATAAGTAATGGAAAAAGAAAGTTGTTTGAATGTCAGCATTTGAGTTTTTGAGGATTCATTTGGTCTGTGGTTTGAAATGGTGGAGTGAGTGAGTAATTATGGAAATTTTTGCCGTAGTTTCTGAGCTTTGTTTATTGTGTATTGTAAGTTTGGTGATGCTGAGCCTTATTTAGCTGAAGTTTCTTTGCTCAAACTTTGACCCTTTAGTTATTGATAATTGTTAGTTGCAACTTGCAAGGCTGGAAAGATAGAACTTAAAATTGTACTTTGAGAACCTTATGCATATTCCTTTGCATATTAAACTATTTGTATTTGTGGCTGGTCAGTAGAGAATTGATCTTCCCATTGTTTAAAAATTTATTTTCTTAAATTTCTTATGGCTCATTTGATAGGGTAGTATTATATATAAGCAGCATTGTCAAAAAATTCTCATGGACTCTCTGTGACAATCCTTCTCTGCCTTTTAGTTTATATTTCAGTATTTTCTTCTTAATTTCCTTGATAGTAAGTTGTAATGAAATTTTAAAGAAAAGAACACACTTGGGTAACATAAAGGGGTTCGATTGCATTAAGTGTACATTAGAATGGTGTATTTCTTGTAAAGAAAAATATGAACTACAGTCTCAATGCTATTACCACTCTTAATTGTTGCCTCCCAAATCTGCCGTTAGTGGTAGAAGCTGAACCAATCTTAGTATTAAGCTATTAATAACTGCAAGCAAGACTTAGCTGGGAATGATGACTGAAAATCTGAAATTAGAGAATTGATGGTACTTTTCCTTGCACATTTGAAATTGGTTTGAAATGACTTGGTGATTGTTGTGAAGACTTCTTTTGCATCAAGATGGTTTTTTGATTTCTTTTGAAATTTGAGTGTGTCTAGGCCAACTACATGAACTTTTTTGCTTACTGTGTGTTGTTTAGGTCTTGCTCCTGAAATCCCTGAGGATCTCTACCATCTTATTAAGAAGGCTGTAGCAGTCCGTAAGCATTTGGAGAGGAACAGAAAGGACAAGGACTCTAAGTTTAGGTTGATTTTGGTTGAGAGCAGGATCCACAGACTTGCTCGTTACTACAAAAAGACAAAGAAGCTCCCACCAGTCTGGAAATAGTGAGTCTCGTCTTTTTAAGACTGTTGAACCATAATCTTTTTTGGGGTTCCCTCGTGCAATTGTTGTATGATGTTAATATATCCTTCATCTGCTTACCTGTTAACCCATTTTTTTAACAACTTTTACTTGCAGCGAGTCTACAACTGCCAGCACCCTCGTGGCCTAATACTCGTGGTAGAAAGATGATAGCTTCAGGCAGAGGGCAAATTGGGCTTTATTTCTTTGTAACAGAATTATAACCTTCATCTCACAGTTGTGGTTATGATCAGATTTTTTTTTTTTTACCCATTTCCGTAGGAAGTGCTGTAGTACTTGTCATCTGCTATTACTTGAAAATTTTGGTCGTTGAAGTCTTCGATATTCATATTTGTTTGCTCTTGAGATTTTGTTGAAATGATGAATTGCTCAAGACATACAGACACATTAATGTTGAGTAGAGGTGTAGGGCATTTCGTATTCTCCAAGCAATTCTTGATTAGTCTTCAAATGTTTCCTTTTAGTTATAATCTTGTGTTTCTCATTGTGCAAACAAAGAAATAAAGCAGAACTATGGAGTACCTAATTGTGAGAATATACATTACTAAAGACGGACAAGTATTTGACTATTCTCACATTTAAGTAGGGATCTTAACTCTGAAGTCCCGGATGTCTCTGTTAACCCTAGACCAGTTACAGGATATGGGTATAACACACGCAGACTTTGAAGTAATCTTGATTTATGCTATAATTTAATTTCGCTCCTGCAAGTAGCGCAGCAAGTAGACTTTTAGAAGAGATGTAAGCTGTGATTATAGTGCTTAGGGCTGGACATGAGCTTGCTCAGAATGTGTTTGGTCTTCTTTGATGTTGAAGTCTCTCTTTTTTGATAGGCCTTCATTATGGACTAACGGTTAACTTAGGTTGTAAATGCCAGAAGAAAATGCTCGTGCGCTCAACTGTTGATAATGACTTTCTTGCAAAGCCGTGATAGATATTCCCATATTCTTCTATACTACTTCTTCTGCCCCTATTTTTTTTTGCCCCATTTGGCTTTTCACGGTCTCCAGGACATGTTTAAAACGTATATAACTTCATTTTTATACGTGTCAAAATCATAAAAATTTGATATTAATAAAATATACAATGAGATGAATCTAACAAGACCCCACATGATAGAAGGAGTACTAATTATTTTTTTTATGCTTGTGAATGCATAATTTCTACAGTTAACATTATTAACTTTCACTTCAACGTATTGATTGATGAGATGAAGGAAGGTGTAGAAAACAAGTTAGAATCGTGGAGATGATATCGGAGTCTCGGATATTTGGAGTGTATGTTTACCGGAAGTATAATTAGGAAGGTAGGAGAGCTTTGATTGAATATTGTACGAGGTTATGAATTCTTTAGCTATAGCTATCTAGAATCAATTATTAAAAGACAGGGAATTGGATGGAGATGTGGATCATATTTAAAAAGAAAAAAAAAAGCGGATGGTTGAAGTGGAAGAGTGCTAGGAGTTCCTATGTGATTTTGGCCAGATGCCCTGTAGAGTAAGGAAAATCCTGTAGCGTGACAGATAGACCTTCATTGATTATGGTACATCGTATTACATTCACAAACGGAGATGCTTATATTGTGATTACTATGTGGACATACTAGAAAGGATCAGTTGAGAAATGAGGTTTATAAAGAAGGTAGGGGTTAGTGGCTTACATGACTACATCTATTGAGAACAAGATGAGTGTGAATCACCAACCACTTACGATGGTTTGCGTGAATTGATACACTTACACACGGTTAAGAGGCTTGAAGAGTTGTAACGTCAAAGAGAGTGATATAAGTTTATTGGGAATCAAGGGGTATATATATATATATGAGCGTTTCTCAACCTTTAATAACTTGAGTAATAAATGTACTAATAACATTTGTTGCTATAAAAATTATATTTTGATGGTATCATCTTAATAAACAAATAGTATTTTTGATATCAACAAAATGTTTTGCTTTTATTGGTATTAATGTAGTATGTAATACTACTATTTTGATATAATAGTAATACCATCTAAAGGGGGCGTTTGGTTCGCGAATATAGGTATGAGGTATGGGTTTAGAATGACTAAAACTCATACCATATGTTTGGTTGTCAAAAGTATGAATTTAAATCCATACCTCAAACTCATGAGATATGGGGTTTAGAAACCTTAGGAGGAGGTGGATTTGACTCATTCTATTCCCTTAAATATCAAATAAAATGAGGGAATAGTAAGAGATTCCATTCTAGAATTGAACCAAACACATAATATTAAGTATCAAGTTTCAACCCAATACCACCTTAACCCCATTCATGATTCCAAACCCATACCATTTTGCGACCCAAACGCCTAAATACATTTATATACCAATGAACATTATTATGGTGACACACTACAAGAAATGAGCCGAATACCGATGGTCAAAAACCATCGGTAAACATACCCAAAACCATTGATATCACATTTACCGATGGCTGCCATCGGTATTTTAGCTAACGGAGAACCATTCGTCGGCAAAACAAGAAATACCGATGGAAAAACCATCGGTAAAAGTGATACCGATGGCTTTACCGATGGCAATTTAACGTTGTAATATTATAAAATACCGATGGCAAAAGCCATCGGTGTTTTGTAACGATGGCAAAAAGTCATCGGTATTTTAGGTTTACCGATGATGCCATTGGTAAATTCAAAATTAAAAATTAAAAAAAAAAAATTAATACCCACCCCCACCCACTGCCCCTACCCATCCCCTCATACCCCCCTAGGCCCCTGTCCCCATACCCGAAACCACCTACCACCACCACCCACTACCGCCCAAAACACCACCTATTTCACCCCCAACTAACCCTCTTTCGCCACCGAACACCCGATTACCACCACTACCCAGCGCCACCACAAATACCGGCCTACCACCATCCATCGCCGCCCCAAAACACAAAACAACCATGCAACAAAAAAATAAATGAAAATAACTAAAAAAAAGAAATCAACCAAAAAACAAAACTCAACTACAAACAAGCCATAAAATCAACCACTTACCAAAAACGAAATCAACCACTTATCAAGAACGAAATCAACTAAAAATACAAAACCAACAAAATAAAACCCACGGAATTAAAAAAAAAAAACGGAAATATAAACGAAATCAACCAAAAATGAGCATACCTTTGATTATCATGGTAGAATTTCATTTACTTAAGGTTTTAATGGTCAAATTCGACTATAGAAACTCCAGATCTGGAGTTTTCATGGTCGAATTTAACCATAAAGACTAAAACACCATCGAAATGCTTAAAAAAAACCACAAACACCACCAAAAACACCTATGAATCAAACCATTTACGGAGGAGAAACAGATGATTAAAAGAGGAGAGAGGGAGAAGAACAGATTAGAAAGAGAGGAGAGAGAGAGGGGAGAACAAATTAGAAGGAAAGGAGAGAGAGACAAACAAAGGAGAAAGGAGGAAAGAGAAGAAAGGAGGAACGGCTGTGATGAGGAGAGAGAAGGAAAGAAGAAAGAGAATAAGGGATTGGGGCGTCCCTTAGGGTTTATTTGACCCTTTTTGATTTTTTTTTTAAATATTTACCGATGGCTTTTCGGATTTTTCCCTAAAGTGAGCTTATTTGTAAAAGTATTTTGCAAATTGGTTGCGTGGCAAAATTATTTACCAAACTAAGCTTTCAGGGTAAAACGCTGTCTCGGACAGCGTTTTATGCCCTGGTTTTTTTTTTTAAAAAAAATTCAATTTGTAAAACGCTGCCCTATTGACCTTTTTTTTTTGAATTTCTTATTTTCTAAGTTCTTTTTTTTTTTAAAAAAAAAAATCAAATACACATAAGACGCTGTCTGGGACAACGTTTTATGTACAAAATTTTTGTTGCACATAAAACGCTGTCTCATAAAACACTGTCTGAGACAACGGTTTATGTACAATTTTTTTTGTACATAAAACGCTGTCTCAGACAGCGTTTTTCTGCCGGACTACAATACCAGTAGCCAGCAGACTTTCTTCTCTAATTTCTGCCCCATTTTTGCCCCCAACACACCACCCCCAGCCTTCAATAAGCCACCACCCTCAACCACCACCCCCACCACCAACCCCTACCATGGACCACCACCTCCCGCCACTTTCGACCACCCTTATGCACTTCAAAACACTCCAACCACCCCCAACAATACTACAACCACCTCCACCACCAGCCCCAACCTTACCACCACCGTAGACCACCACCAACCACCACCAACAGCACTATAACCACCATGAACCACCACGGGCCATCGCTTCTACCCCGTTTCTCATTATGGAGCCCAAATGTCTGCTGTTTGATATATATCGGCCTAGAAGGATCTATTTTTACTGACATAAGTTCGATTTGGATAAATAAAGAAATTAAACTTCAAACCACACACAGATTCATTCAAAAAACATTTATTATATTAATAATGTAAGTGTTATATACATCATTTTAGAATATCCGGCTACAGCAAATAAAACAAATAATATTATCCCGACTCATTTATTCGGGGTAACGGTTCTGTATCATGTCTGTCGTCCCTCCGTCTGACACGACGCCGCCTGTAATAAGTAATGGTGGTGAATGGATCTCGGGGCGGTGGGGGAGTCTGCTGGCCGGACGATGGGTCCTCCTGGGTACCAGTGGGCGTAGTACTGTGGATGATGTAATCATTTGCGTCTGGGTGACGTAGGATCACCTCCACCGCTGCTCTGGCCGAGCTCGAACTGTGAATGGACGGAGTGGCCATCATGACCGTCCCGCTGGTGGACGAGATAGCCGTGACCATATCTCTGTAAGGTAACGACGTCCATATCTCGCACCCCCTCGACCTGGGCTCCGGTGGGTCCATCTGCAAGGGCGACTGATAGTGCATCAACCATCGCCACCATGATTCAAATGTTACAAATGTTACAAACTTTAGAAAATCTGATACAAAATAATTCTACTTTCTACTACTACAACAAATAACAAATACAAACTTAGGTCCTATGTCGGTCTAGATGGACACATTGTCCGGTTGTGACCCTGCTGGTGACAGCGGCTGCATTTGCTCGGTGGCCGGTTAGTCTCATCTATTTCATTGCATATGCGCTTTGACCTTGGCCGCCCTTTTCCACGTACCATGTTACCGTTCGGAATGAGTTTAGGGCCGACTACTGTGTCCAGGTTGTCTCGCAGGGGATACGCCAGAATTGTGGTGCATAGGTGTTCATGTAAGCCTCCGATTGCAGCACAGGGTCCACCCACGGCCGCTCTGATAGTGAATACGTCACACAGACTGCTAGAACATGAGAACATGGGAGGTGGAATATCTTTGGTTTGTTGCATGCACACGTTCTCAACTGAAAGTTAACAGTATGTTTATGGCCTCCTTTACTACCAAGACGCTCTCCCCTTTCTGTTATAACTTGGTAAATATGCAACCGGCGGTTATACGCATCCACTTTGTGATATCTGGCTTTTGCGGTGTTCTTCTCCAGAATGACAGTGACCTTGGGGGGGGGGTATGCAAGTCCCTGTGCAGACATAGCCTCAGAAGACTCCCTTCTCAAAGTGAAATACCTGTTAACTTTGTGGAAAGTTAACTCGACAAGGGACATGATCGGTAGAAATCGAGCTCCCTTCAACACACTGTTAAATGTTTCAGAGAAGTTTGTAGTACATATCCCATATATGCGACCAGCGTCGTGAAAGAGAGACCACATAGTGAACGGGACTTGAACAATATACTCCATGGCCTTGGTACATGCCTCACCGATGAAACACATATCAACTTGAAGTTTTCTTTTTTGCCTTTGGTACGCCGCAGCCTTGAACATGTCTCTCATGTCGTTGCTTCGCACGTGAGTCTTCAAGTTAGAAGCTATGTGGCGAACACAAAAACTGTGATAGGCTCGCGGCTCGGTGAATCCAACGTTAGGATCATTCATTGCTGCAATGATCCCAGGATGTCGATCTGATATAACACAGAGGCCATCTCGTTGCGTGACATGAACCCGAATGCAGCCCAGGAACCAAGACCAGCTGGAAGTGTTCTCCCCTTCAACCACCGCAAATGCTAGCGGAAATACTTGGAAGTTTGCATCCACACTTGTAGCAACCAACAATGTTCCTTTGTACTTCCCGTACAAGTGCGTCCCATCGATACAGATAACAGGCATACAATGTTTAAAACCGTCGATACAAGGACCAAAGGCCCAAAACACTCGTTCAAACACTTCCATGTTGCTGTAGTATACACCGTCCACTAGAGCTTTGTGTTTCCATACGACACACGTTCCCGGTTTGACTGTTGGAGTGCTTTCATGAAGTGCGGAAGTCTGCCGTAAGAACTCTCCCAATCCCCAAATATTAAGCTATAGCTTTCTCCTTGGCATACCCTGCTCTTCGATACGGAACATCGAAATGAAATTGCTTGGAGATGAGTTCCTGTATGAATTCAACTTTCAAGGACGGATCTTTCCGCACAAAGGACTTCACATACTCTGATATTATGGACGAATCCAAGTGTGGGTGATCAGTAGATAGTACTTCAGTGACACAGTTCTCCCGGTACGGGCTTTTGTACGTGACTAGGGTAAAGCCACGCGAGTGCTCACTTGATTTGGTACCCCGTACCATCCAACCACATTTCTTCTTGCATCGCAAATGAAGGACACTCTCATTCGATGTCACTGTGGTGTAGAATTGATTCCTCTGTATAGAATACATCTTCACCATTTTTTGAAGCATTTTCTTACTTTCAAAGTACATCCCCTTCTCAAATTCTCCCCTGAGAACAAAAGATGTATGGCTACCCGATTCGGCCCAATACTGATAAACTTCATAGTTCTCGTTTACCTGACTGAACCAAGGTACGAGAGTTCTAACCAGGGGCTCGCCAACTTCCATGTGTGCAGGTTCAACATCCATGTTCTGAAGTCCATCTTCCTCCTCTCCGCTCTCGGCCTCATCATTTGTATACATATCATACATAGACAATTCGTTATTCACAATAGTTTCAAGATGATTTGGCACAAGTTGAGACAGCAATGCTTGAACATCATCTTGCGTAGGCGAATAACTATGCAATTGCATCGGTGAAGGTGTGACGATGTTTGATGTCGAAGGCCTAGGTTGGCTGGTCATTGCAACATATGCCCCCCCATGTACAGGTGAAGCTATATGAGAACTAAACGACATGTGGAATTGATCGTCGTGCAACATTCGACTGAAAGATCCCATCCCATATTCAGTTGATGGAATGTTGTGTGAGGGCACTTGGAAGGGCTCTGTGTTGTAACCGGAAATATATGTAGATTGTTGTTCTGGACGAGTACTTTGTTGGGTACATATAGGCACCATTTCTACATATATCCAGTGGGAACACCCTTCATTGCAACAATGTTCCTCAAAGCTTTCAAATGTTTATTCGTAGAAACAGGTAACACTTGAACCCCATTGCTAGTCTCAAACCTCATTTTAATGTTTAGTTCAACATTCCTTGGGTTTGAACCAATACTACTATGAACCTCGTTCATCAAATCATTGAAAGTCATGTTCGGTTCAAGTGTTAGTGGTTCCATATTTCCTCTACTATACTCGACACGGGGTCTATCGAACAGAATTTCACCTCTCCACCGGCATAACAAAATTACATTTTGTGCAACCATATTCTACATAACAACCAAAACACATTATACTTAAAGGCGCTCAATCATCCCGAAATTGCCATAATTAAACAACAATGTACATACTTTTCAAATTAACACAGCTTAGAAGCACTAAATCAACATTAATAAACAACATTTTAGGTTATCACAATCACTCAAAAACCAACAATTATCAACCATTATCAACAATTATCAACAATTATCTACACTAACAATTCAACATTTCCAACAATTTTCTACACTAACAATTCAACAATACCAACAATTATCAACACTAACAATCAACATAATCAACAATAACAATTCAAAATTATCAACACTAACAATTCAACATTATTAAGATTTTAACTACAATTCCAAAAACAAAAAAACCATTAAAAAACCCTAGATTTTAAAAACCAAAGAAAGAGAGGGTGAGCACCAAAATCGGGGTGATGTGAGGCTACTCGGGGCTGTCGGCGGCCGGTGGTTGGCAGGCGGTGGTCGGAAGGAGGCGGCGGTGGTTGGGTGGATTTGGGTTGCGTGATAGAGCTTGAGTGAGAGAGAGATTGGGTTAGGGGATTGAAATGAGGGAATGTAAGGAAGAAGAGGGGAATGAGAGGAAGAAGACGCTGCCTCTGTTCAGCGACAAAAACGCAGACACAGTATTTCATTAAACAGGTAAAACGCTGCCTCAGTCAGCGTTTTACCTTATTTTAATTTTTTTTTATTTCACATTTCCAGCATAACAAGTTACGAACTTTTTTTAAAAAAAAACAGTCAATAGGTAAGAATTTTTTCTTAAAAAAAAACCAGGGCATAAAACGCTGTCCGAGACAGCGTTTTACCCTATACGCTTAGTTTGGTAAATAGGTTTGTCATGCAACCAATTTGCAAAATTCTTTTAAGAATAGACTCACTTTGGGGAAAATCCCTGGCTTTTCGCCATCGGTAAAATACCGATAGTCTAAAGCCATCGGTATTTTTTTTTTTCCGATGGATTTTAACCATCGGTAAAAAAAATTAATTTTCTTTTTTTAAAAAAGAATTTTACCGATGGATGGAAGGCATCGGAAAAAATATACCGATGATTAAGCCATCGGTATTTTGAGAAATACCGATGGCTTGATAAAACCATTGGTAACTTACATTTTTACCGATGAATTTTAATAGCCATAGGTATTTCCCATCGGTAAAGGCGCGTATTCTAGTAGTGATAATATATTTCATCATATTATACTTTCATTTATGACTCAAGTTTCATATACTTACATTTTATTTTCTTTTTATTTTCATTTACAAGGGATAAGATAAATAAGTTAGACAAAATAAAAATAATTTCATATAATATAAAATACATAAATTTAGATAAATTAAGTTTTGACGAATTCATACTCCGTATCATATTAATCAAACTAAGTCTAAGTCTAATTCATATGTTTACTACCGTTTCAGTTTCACTTACATTTTATTTTCTCATTTTATTTTTTTTTTTTTTTTTTTTTTCCAATCCTCTCATTTGATTTTGTTACTTTTAATTACTTTTCATTCTTATCACTTCTTCTTCTTCTAATCTTCTTTTCCCTCCTTGTGTTAACAACTTAACACTAATATAACTTGCAGTAATTTTACTTCACATTCTTCTTTATTTGTTTACTTAAATTGGCTTACTCCAAATAATTTCAAAGGACAGTTTATGTTTGCTTATTCTAAATCATTTTGGAATTAAAACTATGTTGTTGATGTTGAAGCTGTTGTTGTTGATGTTGTAATACTTTAGATAAAACACTTGCGTTTTAATATGGATGTATATAATATTTAATCTTCACTAAAAAAAATTGTAAAAAAAAAAAATAAAAAAAATCAATTTGACTGAGACATATCCAACAATCCCACATGACATTTTTTTGGGTACTAATCTAGGTCTCTAATACTCTATCCTAAATTGCATTAACATTACGGAGTACTATATTAACCTTAAGAAAAACAAGTACAATTATCTTATACTTATATTACATTAGTTAATACGAGTATAAGTATTGCTTGTTCAACAACCTATAATTGAATCATACTCATCCAAAGTTAGTTAAAACAACTGATATTTTGAAACGAAAAGAGCACAAAGAATGCAAATAGAACACTTTCAAGTTTCAGAAGTTGCATAGCCAAGTACTTGCATGGAGTACCGTTCAAAAAAAAAGAAAAAGAGTACTTGCATGGAGTAGGGTTAATGCGAGCACGAGGAGAGCAGGATAAAATGAGGACCACTTCATCGAAATAATATAATTTGAGCAGCCTTAAATAATCCGTATAATTTAAAAGGAGGTTGGGTGGGCATGTGAAGATAATAATGTTTACCACACTTCACTTGACATGCCTCCTTCTTCAGTCTTCACATTCTTGCTTACTCTGACAAGCTTATTATACTCTTCATGCTTATCTTTCAATCTTTCACTCATATGGTCGATTTAAATAAAAATTTAAATATCATTAGTATACTTTTTTTTTTTAACTACTCCGTGCTTCAAAATTAGTGATTAATAATTAACATTTAACAAATAATAGTTAATACTTAAACTATTACAGTACATTATTTATAATCTTAATTAAATTGTCCTGGTGAACTATAAGAATATATTAGTGTCCTTGAAGACCAATTTACATGTTACAGCCAATAACTAGCAATTGATTATAAAAAACATTGTTATAAATAAGCAATAATAGTAATTAAAAAAAACTCAAACAACTAGTGAAGCAAATTGACACAAACACCTAGCTAGCTAGTCAACCACGCAATTGTCAAACAAGGTGTAATTTAATACCACTGTACATTGTTACATACTTACAATAACCAAAAACTAACAATCGATTATATAAAATTAAACACTATTATAAATAATCAATAGTAAAACAAATCAGCCAATTGTGATAATCCAATACTACGAAGTATAAGTAAGGGGTTTCAATTTTTTGTAATTTTTTGTTTGTAAAAATGTATTCTCTCCATTCAAGATAGATTTAATTGACTTTTACGGTATCAAAAATACATCTTAAACCGTTAATAAAGAATGGATAGATTATATATATGAATCTAATTATTATATATATATAAAGGGGAATTTTTTCCAGAGTTTTTAGAGCGCCACCTAGGATTTTATTTTTTAAAAAATTATTAGAGCGCCACTTAGGATTAATATTTTTAAAACGCTACAATCAGATTATGCCACGTAAGATTAATTTTTTTAAAGCACTACGTAGGATTATAATAAAAAAGCGCCACGTAGGATTAATAATTTTAAAACGCTAAAATAGGATTATGTCACGTAAGATTAATTTTAGAGCGTCACATAGGAAAATGTTATATTTTAGCCAATTAAAAAAAATGCAATTTATTTTTGATCAAAAATTTTACATTAATTATAAAAATAAAATCAGCGCGTTTTTTGTGTGGTTGGTCACATTGTGTGGGCGGATGAGACACACCCAAACACTGATCAAATAACCCCTAAATTCCTAATCGATTGAGTAACCCTTGATCAACCAAGTAACTCCTGCCCAAGTAATCCCGACCACACGGTGTGACCAGCCACGTA